ATGCCACCAAATTTGTCTGCCAAATATATTACACTAGAAAATTAAGTTTTGAGTCCTCATGTTTGGAAAAATAACTTTCGGTATGTGAACCAGTTCCCTGTTGAAACACTACCTCTAAAAGATGTGAGATACATCCCTGTTCATCTAAGTGGAGTAACTCTGAAATGTAATTAGGTGAATTTAAAAGCCAAATTTAAACTTTAATTGCTGATCACTTTAGCAGAAAGATCTAGCTAATGTTCTTCGAGTAGTGTTCCTATGGGTGCTCCACCGCATGTGCAGACCTAATGGACGCTGCTACCGAAGTTTTCCAATAAGCAGCGCTGGGGCACAAGCACACCTATAGTGGAGCACCCATAGGGACATGTATCTCAAAGAACCATCGTTACTTCACAAGGTGTGTAACTACTACTTCTATTTACTATTGTAGGTGGCAGGAAGGAGGAGTTAGTATGGAGTCTGGTGTGTCAGGAATTGGGAGTTCAAACTCATTTTTCTTAAAGAAGTTTTACCACCACGCCTCCTACGTTGTCAGAAGCCACAACTGCCCCTCAGTAGTGCTTAAAATCTCCAGTTTTTCCAAACTTTTATGCATTTTTCAGTGCATAATTCTGTGACACCTTTACAAATTAAAATCTGAGGGCGTTCTGAACGTGGTTTGTCTTTGTGTGCACTTACAGTTGCAAATATTGTTAGTAGGCGTGATCAGGTTTGTAGTGTAGACATAACTTTAGGCTAAAGGTTCAGAAAGAAAAATGACTATTGCCACAAATGCTGGTGTGGGCTGGTTGGAAAATAGAAGCTTTCTGTGGAAAATTTAGTTTAGTCGAAAATCTAATTTTCTAATGGAAGATTTTCAGCCAGCCCTAGTGTTGGGTTATGGCAGAGTTTCTCAAATTAATTGCACCGCGACCCCCTTCTGACAACAAAAATGACTACATGACCCCAGGAGGGGAGACAGAAGCCTGAGCCCACCAAAGCCCCACCACCCCAGGCAGGGGACCAAAGCCAAAACCTGAGCCCTGTCACCCAGGGCTGAAGCCCTTTGGCTTTGGCCCCAGGCATTGGGGCTCAAGCTTTGGCCCTGGGCCCCAACAAGTCTAATGCCAGCCCTGGCGACCCCATTACAATGGGGCCGCAACCCACTTTGGGGTCCTGATCCACAGTTTGAGATCTGCTGGGTTATGGTATCCTTGACTTGTGTTCAGTGTTTAGTAACATTAAAGACATGGAGGAACATTTACATGATAAATGTCTGCTTCTTAAGTTTCAAAATATTTTCATTAAAGTAAACTGGTTAAGTCCAAATGTATTTTTGTATTTTGTATATTTCAGTAATTTACAAGTTTGGAAAAAGTTGACAGTGTCAAGTTTATAGGACTTAAGTATTTCTTTTAAATACTGAGATTCCTAGTTCTGCTTTCGTTTCTTCAGAGACACCACAAATATATACATTTTAATAAGAGAATAACAAAGAAGGAATAATTGTTGAATATGTGTAGTTTTGTAAGCCACTATTACTTTTTGCAGCAAATTGCCTTCAAGAACCTAGTTCAACGAAATCGTCAAACAGAACAACAGGCAAACCGACCACCGCCTTCCAATTCTGTCATACATCTGCCATTTATCATTGTGAACACCAGCAAGAAGACCGTGATCGATTGTAGTATTTCAAATGACAAGTAGGTTGTTCATGAATTTTTTCATCAGAAGCAGGAAGCCTGCTAAACAATCAGTGGGGCCACTGGACTATCAAGGTGCTAAAGGAACACTCACGGAAGATAAGGTCGTTGCGGAGACGCTAAGTGAATTCTTTGCATCAGTCTTCACTGCAGAGGATGTGAGGGAGATTCCTATACCTGAGCCATTCTTTTTAGGTGACAAATCTGAGGAACTGTCCCAGATTGAGGTGTCAGTAGAGGTGGTTTTGGAACAAATTGATACATTAAAGAGTAATAAGTCACAAGGATCAGATGGTATTCACCCAAGAGTTCTGAAGGAACTCAAATATGAAATTGCAGAACTACTACCTGTGGTATGTAACTTATCATTAAAATCAGCTTCTGTACCAGATAACTGGAGGATAGCTAATGTGATACCGATTTTTAAAAAGGCTCCAGAGGTGAACCTGGCATTTGCAGGACAGTAAGCCTAACTTCAGTACCAGGCAAATTGGTTGAAACTATGGTAAAGAACATAATTATCAGATACACAGATGAACACAGTTTGCTGGGGAAGAGCCAACACAGCTTTTATAAAGGGAAATCATGCCTCACCAATATGTTAGAATTCTTTGAGGGGGTTAACAAACATGTGGACAAGGGTGATCCAGAGGGAATAGTGTACTTAGGCTTTCAGAAAGCCTGTGTCAAGGTCCCTCACCAAAGGCTCTTAAGGAAACTTAGCAGTCATAGGATATGGTCATCTTGTGGATCAGTAACTGGTTAAAAGACAGGACACAAAGGGTAGGAATAAATGGTCAGTTTTCACAGTGCAGAGAGGTAAATAGTAGAGTCCTCCAAGGAGCTGTACTGGGACTAGTGCTGTTCAACATACTCATAAATGATCTGGAAAAACAGGTAAATATTGCGGTGGCAGAGTTTACAGATGATAAAAAATTACTCAAGATAGCTAAGTCCGAACCAGACTACAAGGAGTTACAAAGGGATCTCACAAAATAGTGACTGGACAACAAAGTGGCAGATGAAATTCAGTGTTGATAAATACAAAGTAATGCATAGTGGAAAACACAATCCCAACTGTACATACAAAATGATGGGGTCGAAATTAGTTGTTACCACACAAGAAAGAGATCTTGGAGTCATTATGGAGTCTCTGAAAACATCAGCTCAGTCTGCAGTGGCAGTCAAAAAAGCGAACAGTGTTAGGAACCATTAGGAAAGAGAGAGAGAAAATAAGACCGTAAATATCATAATGCCTCTATAAAAATCTGTGCTATGCCAACATCTAGAATATTGTGTGCAGATCTGGTTCCCCCCATCTCAAATAAGATATATTAGAAACTGAAAATGTACAGAGAAGTGCAACAAAAATGATTAGGGGTATGGAACAGTTTCCATATGAAAAGAGATTAAAAAGACTGGGACTGTTCAGCTTGGGAAAGAGACTAATGAGGGGAGATGATGGAGGTCCATAAAATCATAAATGGTGTGGAGAAAGTGAATAAGGAAGTGTTATTTGCCCCTTCACATAATGCAAGAACCAGAGTCCCTGATGAAATTAATAGACAGGAGGTATAAAACAAACAAATGGAAGTACTTCTTCATATAACACAGTAAACCTGTGGAACTTGTTGCCAGGGGATGTTTTAAAGGCCAAAACTATAAATGGATTAAAAAAAGAATTAGATAAGTTCATGGATGATAGGTAAGGCTAGGTTTTAGTCATGGGTATTTTTAATAAAAGTCACGGACAGGTCATGGGCAATAAACATGGGCGACATCCCATAGCTCCTAGGCAGAGGCGCAGCCACACAGCTCTGTGCGCTGCCTACGCCCCAAGCACCAGCTTCTATTGGTCAGGAACCACGGCCAGTGGGAGCTGCGGGGGCGGTACTTGCAGGCAGAGGCAGCACACAAAGCCCCCCTGGCTGCACCTCCACCTAGGAGCTGAAGGATGTCGCCGCTTCCGGGGAGCACCCCCAAGGTAAGTGCCGCCCGGAGCCCTCTCCTACGCCCCAGCTATGAGTCCCCTCCCACACCCAAACTCTCCTGCTGTTGCTGTGGGAGGTGGGTGCAGTGGCCCGAGACTGTCCCAGCAGTGGCCAGTGCGAAAGTCATCTCCATGACAAACTCGCAGCTTTAATCATAGGTCCATCAATGGCTATTAGCCAAGATGATCAGGGGTGCAACCCCATGCTCTGGGTGTCCATAAACCTCTCATTTTCAGATGCTGGGAGTGGATGTCAGGGATCACTTGATGATTGCCCTGTTCTGTTTATTCCCTTTGAAGCATCTGGCATTGGCCACTGTTGAAAGATGGGATACTGAGCTAGATGGACCATTGGTCTGATCTAGTATGGTCATTCTTGTGTTCTTATGGGTCTGCAGCTAAATCTCCTATTAATGGTTTGGGCAACATGCAACATTTTCATTATTTCTCTCTTATATAGTTAACAAAGGTATGAATTTTGAGACATTGGAATTGCTCACTAGAACAAAATATGAAGGCTACATATGTTATAATGGCCATGTTTTCATTTTCTTGAAGTACCACACTCGGTTGGAAATGTTTTGGAAAAATTAGTGCAAGTAATTCAAGCTGATTGAATTTCTCGCCTCCAGGTTTGAATATCTATTTAATTTTGACAATACTTTTGAAATTCATGATGATATAGAAGTACTAAAGCGAATGGGAATGGCTTGTGGGCTAGAATCTGGAAGCTGTTCAGCAGAGGACCTAAAAATTGCAAGGAGTTTGGTTCCTAAAGCTCTGGAACCATATGTGACAGGTTAGTTACTCAAAGTAAGATACTTCTTCTGTTTTTCTCTTTGAAATAGGACTTGAGGAAAAACTGGTTGAACTAGAACTCTGACTCCACCCATCTATAAAATGTTTAGTTGGCTAACTTTTCATTAGCCAACAGTGTAGATATTTAACTTATTCTTAAATGTGTATGTTTGTTGTAGTAGGATGTAAGTGGTAAGAACAAGACTGATTTTTTTTTTTCCTTTTTCAAGTGGTTGTCCTTATGTGTACTACACTTCAGGATGCACATGCGCCCAGGTCTGAAGATTTTTCTCTAACAGGGTCTGTCTGGTCATCGTGTGTGCCCTCACTCTCCTGCTCCTCACTTGAGAAGATAAAGGGAGCTGCCGGACTACCGCTGTCTTAATTCTTTCTTCCATTGATGGTTGTGGATGGAGCTTCACAGTTTGTGCCGACTTCTTCAGCTTCTCTTCGTAAATAGTTAAAAAAAAAAAAAATTCTATAGTGTTACAGCAGAGTGACAGCTGTGCTATATAGTTTAAAGTCTATTTATTCTAGGGGTTCTAAAAGCCCTAGTTAATGAGATTGCCTTGAAATTTGTTATGCTTCGTAGAGGTAGGGGTACAGTCAGTGACTGAAATTTGGGGTCACCTGACCAATGGGTTCCAGAGATACAGCACTAGGGGGGGGAAAACAGCTTGTTTAAAAATTGACACATTCTAAAAATTGACAGTGTTTTTTTGCTCACAAATAGAGATCGAACTAGGGCTCAGATCATTGCACCGGGTACTTAGATGCTCAAAGGTTACCCCAACAGAATGCATGGCACCCACCACCCTTTTGGGGGAAATCAAATTAAAATGTTACTTGAAAAAGTTTGCTTCTCCAGTTAGGCATGCTAAGGCTCTCATGCCTAATGGTTTATGCTAAACAAGTACAGAGAGAGAGGCTATCTGGAAAACTACCTCTACATAGAATCACAGAAATGTATGAGTGGAAGGGATCTCAATAGGTCATCTAGTCCAGTCCCCTGCACTGAGGCAAGACTAAGAATTATCTAGACCAGAGATGGGCAACCTGCGGCCTGTCAAGGTAATCCGCTGGCGGGCCGCCAGACTGTTTACATTTGCACGGCACCTGCAGCTCCCAGTGGCCACAATTCGCCGTTCCTGATGAATGAGAGCTGCGGGAAGCGGCGTGGGCCGCAGGTTGCCCATCACTGATCTAGACCATCCCTGACAAGTGTTTGTCTAACCTGTTCTTAAAAACCTCCAATTAGGGAGATTGTGGAATCTCCATAAATAATTTGTTCCAATGTTTAACTACCCTTACCATTAAGAAGTTTTTTGTAATGTCTAACCTAAATCTCCCTTGCTGCAATTTGAGCCCATTACCTCTCGTCCTGTGCTCAGTGTATAAGGAGAACAATTTATTACCCTCATCTTCATAACAACCTATTACCTACTTGAAGACTGTTATGTCACCACTCAGTCTTCCCTTCTCCAGGCTAAACAAACCTTTTTTTTCTTCCCCTCAATCTTTCCTCATAGGTCTCATTTTCTAAACCTTTAATCATTTTTTTTTTTGCTCTACTCTCAGCTTCCTCCAATTTGTCTACCTCTTTCCCGAAGTGTGGTGCCCAGAACTGGACACAATACTCCAGTTGAGGCCTTATCAGTGCTGAGTAGAGTAAAATAATTACTTCTTTTACCTTGCTTCCAAGACTCCTGCTAATACAGCCCGGAATGTTTACTTTTTGGGAGCAGTATTATATTGCTGACTCATTTAGTTTGTGATCCACAATAAACCCCAGATCCTTTTCTGCAGTACTCCTTCATAGGCAGTCATTTCCCATTTTGTATTTGTGCAGTTAATTATTCCTTCATAAGTGTAGTACCTTGCATTTGTCCTTACTGAATTTCATCCTATTTATTTCATACCATTTCTCCAGTTTGTTGAGATCATTTTGAATTTTAATCCTGTCCTCCAACCCCTCCCAGCTTGGTATCATCGCCAAACTTATAAGTGTACTCTGTATGGTGGTATTCAAATCATTTATAAAGATCTTGAATTGAACAGACCCAGGACGGATCCCTGTGGGACAACATTCAATATGCCTTCCAGCTTGATTGAGAACCATTGATAACTACTCTGAGTACACTTTTCCATCCAGCTGTGCACCCATCTTATGGTAGGTTTGTCTAGGCTGTATTTCCCTAGTTTGTTTATGAGAAGGTCATGTGAGACTGTATCGGAAGCCTTACTAAAGTAGAGAGATGTCCCATCTACTGCTTCCCCCCCCATCCACAAGGCTTGTTACCCTGTCAAAGAAGGATGTTAGATTGGTTTGACATGATTTGTTCTTGACAAATCCATATTTACTATTTCTTCTCATCTTATTATCTTGTAGGTGCTTACAAATTGATTGTTTTCTTCATTATCTTTCTGGGTACCAAAGTTAAGCTGATTAGTCTGTAGTTCTATGGGTTGTCCTTATTTACCTTTTATAGATGGTATTATATTTGCCCCTTTTCAGTCCTCTGGAATCTCTTTTGTCCATCACCAGTTCTCAAAGATAATCACTAGCAGCTTAGAGATCTTTCTCCAGCCAGTTCCTTAAGTATTCTAGGATGTATTTCATCAGGCCCTGCTGACTTGAAGACATCTAACTTGTCTAAGTAATTCTTTACTTGTTCTTTCTCTATTTTAACCTCAGATCCTACCCAATTTACATTGATGTTCATTATGGTAGTCGTCCAATCACTGCTAACCTTTTTGTTGAAAACTGAAACAAAAAAGGCATTATTTTTTTTTTTCAGCCATTGCTGTGTTTTTCTGTGACTGTCTTTCCCTCCTCATAGAGTAATGGGCCTACCGTGTCCTTGGTATTCCTCTTGCTTCTAATATATTTGTAAAATGTTTTCTTGTTACCCTTTGTCCCTAGCTAATTTAATCTCATTCTGTGCCTTGGCCTTTCTAATTTTGTGCCTACATGCTTAGTTGTTGTTTTTTTTATATTCATCCTTAATAATTTGACCTAATTTCCAGTTTTTGTATGACTCTTGAGTTTCAGGTCATTGAAGATCTCCTGGTTTAAGCCAAAGTTGTCTCTCACTATACTTTATCTTTCCTACACGCTGGAATAGTTTGCTCTTGTTCCCTTAATAATGTCTCTGTAAAAAAACCTGCTAATTCTCCTGAACTGTGTTTTCCCATTAGACTTGCTTCCAACAGGATCTTACCTACCAATTCTGAGTTTGCTAAAATCTGCTGTCTTTATTCTGCTGTTTTCCCTCGTACCATTTCTTAGAATCATGAACTCATCATTTCTTGGTCACTTTCACCGAAGCTGCCTTCCACCTTCAAATCTGCAATCAGTTACTCCCTGTTTGTCTGGATCAGATCTATGACAGCCTCTCCCTTGGTCGCTTTCTCCACCTTCTGTAATAAAAAGTTATCTCCAGTGCATTCCAAGAACATGTTGGATAATCTGTGTCCTGTTGTGTTGTTTTCCCAACAGGTGTCTGGGTAGTTGAAGTCCCCCATCATCATCAAGTCCTGTGCTTTGGATGATTTTGTTAGTTGTTTTAAAAAGGGCTTATCCACCTCTTTTTTTTTTTTTTTTTTTTTCTGGTTAGGTGGTCTACAGTGGACTCCTACCAGGACATCACTCTTGTTTTTTATCCCTTTTATCCTTACCCAGAGACTTTCAACAGGTTTGCCTCCCACTTCTATCTTGACCTCAGTGCAAGTGTATACATTTTTGATATACAAAGCAATACCACCTCCTTTTTTCCCCATGCTTGTCTTTACTGAACAAGCTGTACCTTTCTATACCAATGTTCCAGTTATGTGAAGTATCCCACCAAATCTCTGATGCTAATTATGTTGTAAGTGATTATTCACTTAATATTTCTAGTTCTTCCTGTTTATTTCCCCTCACATCATAGGATTTAGGTGGCTCCAAGGGTATGATGATGATATTGAATCTGAGCATCGTGTCAGGCACTGAGAGTTCAAATCCAACTCAGGGCAGACATTTGAAATTTAAAAAGCCCCAGACATACTGCTCCAATCTTTCCTTGTCAAGGGGGGAATTTTGTTTTGGGGAAGTGAAATCTGAGTACAGCTGAATATTTGAAGGCACTGAAGCTATTTTTTAAAAAGAAAATAAATTACAATGAGCAAATGCTTGCTGGGGGAGGGGAGGGTGACTAACAGTGGAATAGGAGGAGAAGAGGGATTGGAGGATCAGGTGATGAGGGGACGGGGGAGGGAAGTGGTAGGACATTGATATGGGGGGTGAGTGAGGTGCCTGTTAGCCCCACAGTCCCCTTCCAGGTGTGTACCACAATCTGGGAGCCCCCAGGCCATCTACAGGTGTGTTATGACTCCCCCTCCCCCTTTCCTGCCCCTTTATGTGAGCCAGGTTTTAGAAGGGGCTCACCTATCGGGCCGTGGGTCTGAGCCCTTCTTCCTCCCGCTATCTGAGCTGAAATCTGAGGTTCCTGGTCCCTGGGAATGTCTCAGCCCTGTTCTCTGCCCCACTGTGTGTGCCAGGCTCTGGGTGGGCCCTGCCATGTATTGTGACCTTCTCCCTCCCCCCCCAATGTGAGCCAGGTTCCAAGGAGGCATGCCTTTCTAGTAGCTTCCAAGCCCCTCCCCCACATATGAGCCAGAATCTAGCTTCCAAGCCCTTCCCCTCTGGGTGGTGAGCTTACAATAGGCATGGTTGGAGCAGGCACCAAAAACACACTGCTGAGATTGGTGTGAAGTGCTGAGAACGGGTATGCTTGACACATCAGAAACTCTCCAGCTCTGGGGAGCGGGGAAACACAACTTCCATGCCACATGAATGTGCCAGTTCACAGGTGTCAGGGTTTTGTTCTCTTTCATCTGAGAACATCTCATTAAGTTGAATAGGCTACTTAACATCTCCCTGAGCCCTTTAAGCTGATGATGAATGTGTAGAGCCCCTCCCTTCCATTCTCCCTCTAATTTTATAATGAAGGGCAGCTCTGC